TTCCTCCAATCTTGCAAATTATATGAAAATTGAAATTCCATGAAATGTTGTAGCTGAAAGATGTATGAATCAAAGAAGTTTACAATTATTTGCATACAAATATGTATTCTTTTCTGTATGCTTCCTAGAAAAATGTAATGAATAACAAAGAGAAAAAGTTATTACTATTTATTCTCATGTTTTGTCTCTCTTGGGAAATTTCCATATATTTTTTTGTAGTTTACATAAAAAAAAAATTATTTAGTGGTTACTTCAATATATTACAATTATTTAAATAAATGTCAGCCTGAAAATTTTAATATTTAGCTGTCATTTCATTTGAATTATAAATTTTGATTAATAAAAATTTCGTTTATTTCTGAACATTTTTTCCAGTATTTGAAAATTAATAAGTCTAAAAAGAGAACCAAAGTGACGGATGAGCATCCGCAATTTGTGAGGAAAGTAGTTTCTAATAATTTTTCTTTAAGGTTACAAACTTTATCAAAACCGAAACACTGTGAAGTGTTGTTGCTGAAAAATGTAGTAGGAAATAAAGAAGTTTATAAATATTTACATATAATTGTGTGTCTTTTTTTCTGTATGCATCGAAGAAAAATTTACTACAGTAAACCCTTGCCGAACGCTGGGGTTTTACATTATTAAAACATAGTGTGTATGGCAAAATGGGGTTTTTTAAAATTAACTTTCTATGGAAAAAATGAGTTAAGTATAGTTTGGATGAAGAAAGTATATGTAATTTATACAAACTTAGATATTATTGTTATTAAAAGGGGAAAATGACACAAATGTTAATTGAAAGGATGTCTGTTATTGCTTAATAAGTAGGTACATGGTAGAATTATTTTTTAAATATCTGGTCATTTTTGCTTGGCACAATGTCTGATGCAATTGATTAAATGCTTCATGATAAAGAGGTTTCCAAATTAATAACTTCTTGATCTTCTTCAGTATTGCTGAGTTCACCATCACCTCATGTTACGAGGTCATCCAGTTCTTCATTTATCATTTCACAATCATCATTCTTGCCTAATTCTTTAATTTCTCCTTCCTCCTTATCTGAAAAGTCCTTCACCACCAATTGCTTTTGCAATTTGTATGGTTTTCTTGGCTCCATTTTCAATCAGTGAAAATTCTATAAAATTGTTGACACCATCTGGGCAGCATTGATGCCAGTAAGCATTCAATATTGATAAATTAACTTACTGCCGTGAGAGTTTATTCATTTCTATGTAGTGTCTTATGTTGAATTGCTTCCTAGGTGCCATTAGTGCGTTGTGCTTTTCTACATCTAGTGCTGCATTTTCAGAAATGTAAACATGCCTGGCATAATAAGTTTTGAATGTTTTTATGATTGCTTGGTCCATTGTATGGATTAAGGAAGTGGCATTCAGTGTAAGGAACAAAACTTCTACTTTTGTCTACCTTTGGATGCAATGTTTTGAGGGCTTCAATATCGTGTCCTGGAGCATTATCAAGAATAAGGAGAACTATAAAATTCAGGTTTTGCTGTGGTTTGACATCTTTAATGTTGGATTTTCAAATCAGTCATTAAAGAGGACTATTGCAATGCAGCCAATGCTCTGCAGCATATAGTGTATAATTGAAATCCTCGCATTAGACAAATTGAATGGAGACAATTAAAATAATGCAAAATAACATTCTGCAAGTCCACATTCGGAAAGAGTTTACTGTACATAAAAGAATGAGAATAGCTAGTCAGTATTTTTTCTCGCGTTTTGTCCCAGTTGGAAGGTTTTCATAATTTGTTTAAGTTATTTAGTACTTAATTAAGCAGATTAAAATTATTAGAACTAAATGTCATTCTGAAAATTTAATATTTAGCTGTCGTTACATTTGAATTAGAAAGCATATCCAACAGAAGTTTTTTGCAGATAAAATCTCTTTATATCAGACAGATAAATATAAACTGGAGTTTTTCCCCTTTGCTTAATTATTGTTACTGTTTATGTATATTGAGATAAATATTTGGTAAATTTAAAATTTAGTTAAGGAATTTTTTGTTAAAAAATTTCGCTCCTACCCCCCCCCCCCCAAGTTTTATATATTAAAAATGAATTTTTTTCTTGCAACACAATATATTTCTTGCAGAAATTAAGAATAAAAATCAAAAACAATTAAATCTTAAAAAACTAAAACAAAATTTGTCACTAAATAGGTATGATGAATCTGTCAAGTTAATGTAATGGCTAAATGTAAAATAAAATACCTAATTAATAAGTTTCAGTAACAAAGCTATGTTCTCAGTTTATATCTGGAATATTTGAAAAGGTATTATTATACAGAAAGAAAACTTTTCAAAAGATGAAAAGAACATATTTTTATATTTTTCACAGCAAAGCCAATTTTTTCCACCTCTATAGGGATTTCTCAGTTAATTTTATAGCTTTCCTTCTGAGAGTGTCAAACAGAGCTGGACAAAAGACAAGCCTAAGAGCTGAATGTGCCCATTTTAATTGTTTAATTTGGCTTGTTATGAAAACCTGTGTAGTTATAGGCTCATCTCTTTTCCACCCAAATTTGTGCACAAACTACTCAAATCATCAGCATGAGTGTGCATCTGTTATTGCAATCTATATGCACATATATAGGCATGAATATACTAGCGATCGAGCTAAGTTGAGAATACTAGATATGTTAGAATGCATGTGCATCTGCCAAAGAATAATTGCTATCATTTTTACCAGCCTAATTTAGGAATTAAATGGTGATAATGAATATTCTGAAGATAAAAAACTGGTCAGAAAAGGGAATTTGAACTTTTCACCTCTTACTTTTTATTTGAAAATGAAACAGTATACATATCAGTCATTTGATGATCAATAGGAACAGATCCCATTTTTGACATATTTGTAATTTTTTAGTCGTGAATGTAATTTTTATAAAATGTTCTACCATGAAGGGATGTTTTTGTTCCTTTCTCCCCATCATACCTTGCTAACAATAGAGACATTGCAAAAGATCATCACAGCATTGCCCGCATGATGCATTAAAAAAGACCTTTGGCCTATGGTGAAAAGTTTGCCCACTTCTGGTACAGGATCAAATAAAGAGGATGTGTATTATATTTTTAGAATGTTTCAGGGACATTTGATTGATGTTTAAAATGTAAAGAGTTCTGATGTTCGATTTTAAAATTTTCGATCTGATAGCCTTTTTCCTGGACTATAAGTGTGCATCATGATTTCCATAATAGAAGGGCTTTTCATAAAATTTTGAGGGGGGTTATCAGTTCCATTCCTCTTCCACTACTTTCCAGAGCCCATCACTCATGGTGGTTTTGTGCTAAGAAAGAGTTATTTTCTTCGAGACACCAAAAGCACAATAGGATTAATTCATAGGTGAAACATCAGGGACTTTGTACGAATACATTGAACAGATATGTATGCAATATCTTTTTAAAATTTTTTCAAGGAATGCACTGGTACTTTTTGACTTGTTGCTTTGTCTTGAAAAATTTGCACTCTTTAAAAGTCATTGGGATAAAGTAGTGGAATTTATTCTGTAAATATCAGATGTAAACTTTCTGTTGATAGTTCATCAAGTTGATTTTAACATTTTTTCCACTCTTTTTATTTTTAATTTCCCGTTTTAAAAGAATACTGCGACAGTCATAAACTCCTTACTGAAACTCCTTGTATTAATGGTAGCAGGTTTATACATTTTTTTTTTCCTGTTTATAATTGATAATAAATAGATCTTTTTTGTTTCAATCATTTAGGTAAACCTGTGCTTCATCAAGGGTCAGTATATTCCCATCTATCGCTTGCTAAATAAATTTCATATGGGGTTTTATAAATTACTGTTCATTGAGTCACATGCCTCTCCAAAGCTGTTGATCATTATGCTTTTTAGCTTCTTTAAGTTGTGAATTGCGGTTTATTATTTTATTTATTATTGCTACAAGTATATTTAAAAATTTTGCAATTGATTTCTGAGTTCGCAGATTTTCTCTTATTGCCAACGATTTAACTTTATAAACATTTGAAGCAGTACATACTCTTTTCAGGTATTCGTTTGGAGGCTTCTTTTCGTGTAGAAGTAACAATTGACGGTTTTTCTGTTTCCAATTTATAATGTTGCTTATTTTGCACCTTACAAATTATGTATTTCATAATGTTTTTGAATTATAGAATGGAAATATTTTTCTCCGAAAACATATCTTTCAATACACAGCTTATTTACATGAGATATTTTGAAAGAAGAATAAATTCAAAAGTGGCTGACGATATTTGTCATTTTAAGTAATAAGCTGTTGCCAGAAATTTTTATTTTAAAAGATTCTTTTTTTCTTTTTAATTCTATCAAAATCGTGAAATGTGTAAGCACCCTCTGTATATATCCCACTTTCCCAATAAATACAGATTGTAGCTTCATTGGCAAGCAGATTAAGCATTTATGATAAAACATTGAAGTTATTGAACATGCAGCAATATACAAAAAACTTAAAATACATTTCTCATTTAGAAGTATAAAGTATTATAAAAATTGCATTCTAAGTAAATGTGAATAGGAAACTGAAAAAATGCAAATTTGCTATAGCTATTCAGTGATGAAATGAGCCAATTCCCAGTTTTTAAGCTCTCTGAAGAATTTTAGCTCTTCATTCCCCTCCCTTAAACAGATAACTATAGTTTACTCTGCTATGATTATAAAAATCCCAATTTTTCTTTGTGCTCCAAAAATCCATATGATTAATCCTGTATGTTTCATATGAAAAATATTGCTTGTAAAAATGTGATACCTAAGGCTGCCCGTCCCTCTCTAACAATATCACTGGTTTAGGTCTGATAGGATAAAAGCTTTTAAAGTATTTTAGACAAATTATTATGAAAAAACATCCTGTAGAACATGATTTTCATTTTTTCTTATTACCTTTTATTTTTTAAGTCCAGTGTATTTTTAGAATCCCATCTTTTCAACCTATAAATGAGATTTATTTATGCTTATATTAATTTCTCTACTTTTTCTGGTTTCAGAAGGTTGTTCTTTAATCCTGAACCTCGAGAAGTATACGTTTGTTACCATGACTCAGTACAACAAGATATAGTAGAAATTGCTTTTCGCCTTGGATTTGGCCTTTCCCTATGATGATTTTAGTTGAATTGCTGAAAAATGTTTTTAATATATATTTTTTGAGAAGGAGAAATGTTTTAATGTAATAGTGTATTAAATAAATATTTTTTTTAAAAAAATAGAGATAATGTGTGTATTGGAAACATTTTAAACAAATGTTTTTCCTTTGTATTATAAAGATCTATTATATTCTTTAAAGAGTCCTGAAAGTAGAAAAAATATAACAGCCATATTTAAATAAATTTTAACATAATATGTTATCAGTACATTCTAAAAAGGTGGTGCATATGTAAATATGCACTAGATGGCTATTTATTGCTGATATGTGATCTCCACTTTGAGAGTAACTGCAATCCATACCTTTCCCCTTCAACAGTATACAAACCATACCATCTGATTACACTCTTAAAATGACTTATGAATAATATATTAATAACTAACCAGTGAACTTGCTGTTTCAAGAATATATGATAGCTTTGAAAGACACACTTTGAAGTATAGAAGCATAGTCAGCTCTGAATTTGGGGAGACAGGGTTGCATTTATCAAAGCATAATTTCTTCAAATAAAGCTAATTTTTTATCATTTTGAATTATATGAATCTGTCAGTGGAATTAAGATATCTAAGTTCACACCTTTGTAAAAAATTAGTTTTCAAACCTAAAATTGGTTTAATTAATTTAAGAAAACTAAAATACTTTCTTTAATTTAATCACTTAAGTTCTTTAATTATATATTTTTGGTGTGCTGTAATATAGAATTTATATAATAGTTTCCATCATATATATATATCTTCTCAAAGCGGAGAGTGAGCCAATTTTTCCCAACTATGATAGAATTCTATCTGTGCGTCATTTTTAATAGAGTGTCCAAATTTTAATAGACTTGGATTAAAGCATTTTAACGAGTGTGACTTTCCTCTTGACCGTTTAATCGGGAAAGAGGCCAATAGTAATTTATTTCAGTACCTGAAAGAAACAGGTTTTTATTATTTAATTTGATTTGGTTTTTATTATAGAGTATTTTTAATGTGTTTCATTGCTTGAGGCATATCATTTGCTGAGTTTTTAATACTTATTCATCTTAATATTCATTTTATTATTTCATTTGGATTTTATAAATTGGTTGTTTTAAATTTGTGTTTCATATTAACTTTTGTTGGTATGAAAGCTATCCCAGTGTAACTTACCGTTTGTTTGGCACTTATAACTATTCTGGTTATCTGCCATTAACTCTACTAACACCAAATACCACACCACCATGATACATATAAAGGGTGCCCACTAAACTCCGGTACCACCCGTTTAACTGCCGAACGGCTGTGGCTATAGTCATAAAAGACTATATGCTGTCCAGGTATAGTAAAGTGGCTATGCGCTACTAAATGAGATAGGTTTCAGCGCCGCCTGGTGGAAAATAGCGGAATTAGCTTCCCTATCTCGAAGACGATATAAGCTAGGAAGAAAAAGTGAATTACAAAGTTGTAGAGCATCGTCGATTTAGTACGAAAAGATACCTCGCGGACATGAATGTTAAGAATAGAGCGTTTTAAACGTGCATCTGTTTATTCGCGATTTCCAAAACCAGGACGTCACGAAACGATCTTAGAAAGAAAAAAACTAGTTATCACAAACTACCTTTATTTTCGATATTTTAAACTTCTCTGCATAAGCTGAAATGCCCATCTGGACCCTTGTTAGAATTTCATGTTGCACGTTTTAGCATAATGAGGAACAGGTTTGCATAAGCATCTGTAATACGTCCTTGAAGGTCCTGCGATGTTTGTGGAGGGGTAGCACACACCTGCTGTTTTGAGGTATCCGCACAGGAATAAGTCCATTGGAGTCAGGTCAGAAGAATATGCAGACCGAAACCACAGTACCCGATTATTTGTTCTCCGAATTCCTCTATCACGTACTATGTCTTGCAGAAGTTCTAAATATTGTGCGGCCGTTAACGTACCCTGGTAAAATATTGAGCCGATTAGCCTGTTATTATAAATTCCACACAAAACATTAATCGAAAACCGTAATTGATGTCAAATGTCGGCAGAGCATGATGGATTTTCCAATGCCCAGTAATGGAAGTTCTGCCTATTGTACATTTCATTTCGCGAAAAGCATGCCTCATCCGTCCACGGTATACCTGCCAAGAATCTTGGCTGGTTCAAAACGAAGTTGCACCATACGAAACGTCTCTCAGCATCCCCGCCCAATAATGCCTGATTATGTGTTGGTCGGTATGGATGAGCACCTAATTCATTTAGGATTTTCCAACAGCGTCATTTTGAGAGGCCACAGTTTTCACTTATCTCTCTTGTGCTGCTGTTTGGATATGTGAGGTCGCATAAGACATCTTCCGGTTACATTTTCCACCCTACCTTAGCTGGTCTGCCGAACGTCTCGCAACCTGTAGAATGGTTTTGTATGAAGGATGCAGGACTGCAAGAAAACGCTGCCAATGCAACCGCCCTGCCGGTCATACCTTGCACTCACATTCACCGTAAGTAGAACTCACACAACAATCACTTTTTGAAAGTCCCTCCATGACCGTGAGCTTCAACATACAACCACGAGGAGATATCTCTTTTATAGCTGTCTACGGTGAACAGGTGTGACGTTTCATACACTATTTGCAAAATGCACAAATTCGCACACCAAGCTCAAGTTCCGTTGAGTTGATGTATTTTGCGACACAATTGTGCACGATCTGTATGTTGTCTACTCTGTTTGTAAAAAGAATCACTACAAGGATGCACCTCTCGGGGTTTAAACCGTAGTCCTCTCGATTGTGAATTAATTACAAGCAACATCATTGTGCCTCGATATGGGCATGTTTTTCATCCGAAAAATAATTTTATCTCCTTTCGTTCAAGTTTTGTGACGTCACTGTTTCGGAAATTTAGAAGAAACAAATGTGCGTTTCCAGTATTCATATCCTCAAGGTGTTTATTCTTACTAAATCAACGATGCTCTACAACTTTGTAATTTACTTTTTCTTCCTGTCTCGTATTGTTTTCGAGCTAGGGAAGCTATCTCCGCCATTTTTCACCAGGTGGTGTTGTAAACTTTCTCATCAAGTATCGCATAGTCACTTTACTATACCTAGACACCAGTTTTATGAATATAGATGCAGCAGTTAAGCGGGCGGACCGGACGCGTAATGGCAAACCGCACATTGAGTTGATCAATGTTAACGAGTTTCGCTTACTGCACGTGTTCAATGGTCTACCGTCGGCGTGGGAAGAAATGCTGGCAACTAAGCATAAGCACCCTACACAAGCCTGTTCATCATGTAAATCTTATTGACCACCGAAATTTGTTTGTGCTCAATGCATTTGCTTCTGTTTCATTTCATTTTGGTTTATTTTGCTTATAAACGTTATATTTAGTATGAGTTATTTATAATAATTTCCTTGACTTTAATTCAATAATTTACACTGAATTTATTCATTAATTTGTTGAAGTATATTCGAATGGAACATTTGGTAAATACGCAATTGCTTTTATTCTTCAGAAGTATGATCAATAAAGATTCAACTAATAATATCCTATCATGTTTCCTATTTTGTAATCATTCTTAAACCAAAATTTGCTTATTTTACAATCGATATTTACACTATAAGTAATGAAGCAACTTACAACCTAGCAAGTTTTAAAACTCCGAAGTGTTTACGCCCAGATAACAGAATATCAACCACACACCGTTTTTTTCTTCTTTTAAAATCATACCAAAGCCATAATTGCGCCAACTTCTCTTCTGGGCATGCGCAATATGCGAAATTCGTTTAGTATTGATCAACTGAATGTGCAGTTTGCCATTACGCGTACCGGACTTTAGTGGGCACCTTCATTCTAATTAACATAGTATTACTATTCTGGATGCAGGTTGTGAGTACTTTCATATGAAAACGCATTTTGTGGCTTCTTTAGCATAGTTTTTTTTTTTTTTCAGTAAATATTTTAAGAGTATGTATTAAAAGATAAACATTAAATTAAAAACTCTCAAAATTTAAATTTATTATTTTAGCACAATGAAGGGAGATTGTACCTGCGCGAGTACTCTTAAATTATAGTTTTCGTAAGATAATGTTTGATCTGATTTATATATATATATATATATATATATATACGTACATTTTATTTTAACTAATTTTACTTTTCTCATTGATGTATGTTTTCATATATATTTACCATTTTGTATATCTTAATAAAGCATTTGAATTATAGTGACTAAAATTTGACATTTTAAAATCGATTTTCTTAAAGAGTGAGAACAAAGAAAAACAAAATCTTTTATCGTTTACGCATCAGCTCGGGCACTTTTAGTCATATGATGATAATAAATATTTATCACAGAAACAGGTCATTTCATTTTTTCAACACATTGCTGAATGTTTTATTTTTGTTCAGGAAAGAGTTATGACTTCACTTAGTCAAAATAATAGGGAAAACTTTCTTCAGTCAATAAGGTGGGGATTTGGTGGCTCTTCGGGATATAGTTCTTATAAACAAGCGTTCCATGGATCTGAAACCAGTGATTTAGCTGTGTTTATATCATCTAATTTACATCTTGATTTCGTTTCAGATCCTGATAACTGTAATTCTAAAGTAATTTGGTACAAGATGGTTTGGTATTTCTACAACTGGTGCAATTTGTATAGCTGTAATTCTAAAGTAATTGTAGGTCTTTAGTAGTGGAGCTCTGTGAAAGGAAAAAGTAAAGTAAGTAATATGTAGAAACATTAGGTATTTTTTGGAAGCAGGCAAGATGCAAAATATGCAGTGCCTTCGCCGGGAATCTAACCGCGGACCTCTCAATTACGCGCTGAGCGTGCAAACCACTACACCACGAAGGCTCGCTAAGACGGCGGGAGATACCTTATATACTCCCCCTTTTAAAGGGCGACTCGGGTTTTTAGGGGACCCAATCGCCAAATCTTGGGTGAGGGGAATCATCATCCAACACCCTTTTTAGTTCGGGCGCCACTGTAGAGACGACAGGTATTTTTTGGAAGCAGGCAAGATGAAAAATAT